AAGGTAAATTTCATTACAAAAATGTTTGTTGAAAAAAGAAAACAACCTGGGTATATATGAATTCAAATGAAAATCACACGAACCGATTCAGGCTGGAGAGGGCCGAGGAATAAATATGGTCTCGTCACTGAGTGAGTGAATACGGGATCTCCGGGGAACTGCTAGCTCTGGAAATTTGTGAACCAGTGTACATGCGACCAAGTATGGAGCCCGCCATTAAATAGATGGCTGTAAATCGGGGAGAAACACACGCGCGCAAGCGCCTAGCAATGGTACTCTCGAGGAGGGAATGATAACGGCATCGATAAATCTCCCGTTAACGCCCCTATGATGAGGATTACAGAGTACACTTAGGCCGCCGAGGTAGAGAAGCTAAGAAGCCTCTCAGTGGTGGGCAATATACGTGCGGAAATACGGAAAGCTGTCGTCAAATGGAACGTCTCTGACCCAATATGCTGCTGTGAAACGCTCAGAATTCTGCCGGCCGCGCTTACTCCCTGCCTCTTGAAGTCTGCCTAGTGCAGTGGCTGGACAGCCAAGCGAAAGGCGACTGCGCATCATGTCCATCTGGTGGGATAACATATTTCCTCATACTCATATGCAATTTAATACAAGATCTATGACACCAAAGAAGATATCACGATCAAGATCAGGCTGTTCAAGACCCAAGCCCACAACAAGAAGCCTTTTTTCATTTGGATTTTTAGTCACGATCGCAGTCGCAATCTGGCATGCGTAGAGCTGGCCAACAGTTTCTCGTTGAGTTCCGCGAGCACCAAGGACGGATGTGGCAGTAAAATTCGGTAGCGGAAGGAGTCCGTCTTCGCTTGGATTTGGAAGAGTATGATAACCGTCAGTCCCAGGATTCGAATTTTCTAAGGGGACGTGGAGCTGGGACGATCAGTATTGATATATCAATGGCTGGTTTTAGATTGGTTCATACCCATTGTCCCAGTTTGCCATTTTGAGATATAGTCACAAAAATTTTGTCAGAAAATGACACTGACATCACTTCTGTTGACACTCCGCCCAACACCCCGGCAGCCTGTCTTGTGGAAGCTGGAAATGGTAGATTGGTTTGGTCTGGCACCGGGCCGGCACCCCGCATCATCTCCTCAAGATGGACATTGGGAGGGATTGAAAGAGAGGACATAGCAATGAAATGAGTGAGAAGAATCTAAAGGGATAGAGTACAGACCCAATAAAAAATATGCACTTATTTCCTTCTGAATCGGTGCTCGAGACGTTAAGCTAGTCTGTTTGCGGTGGTCTGTCTGTGGTTTGGAACAATAAAAGGAAATGGAGCTGTGTCCTCACCGCCTTCTGCGGCAGAATTGCTGCTAAATAAATTTCTCTGCGGCATCAAACTGGAGAATCAGAAAGCGCTCAGTCGCCGGAAGCTCATATTGCTAGCTTTCCCGCTGCCGATAAAATGCCAAAATTCGTCCCTAGACAGCGGAAACATAAAAATAAACTAAAGGAAACCAATCCCCCTCCCCAGCAAGATACCAATGTCATCGAACTTGCGCCGGTCCCCAAGTCGGAGAAGGAAGAGAAGCGGCGGAAGTTGAGAGAAGAGTTGCGAGCACAGCAACCGAAGATTTCTGGCAAGAAGCAAAAGAGACTTGATAAATATATTGTATGTATAATTAATCCTCTTCCTTGTTTATTTTCATTCCGTAAAATACTAACTTCTCGCCACAGGAAACTAAATTAAAGAAGGATGAAAATCTTATACTTCTCAAAAAGCTTGCGGACGCAAAAATAGATACTAGTCAATTACAAAGCTCAAGAAATCTAGGGAAACAGAAAGGAAAAAAGGCTCGATTCTCAGTGACGAAAAGCGAATATGGTAACACCTCTGTCCAACAAGCGCACGCCTCAGACAATGAACCAAACGAGACCCAGCCGATCAAGTCGGCATTGTTCACCTCTGCCATTGCGACTACTAGTACCACCAGTAATACAGCTGGGCCTGGGAAGCTTGCTATTGGAAGTGGCTTAAAGCGACCTCTGGAACTTGGAGAAGACGGGTTTCCTGTCATGAAGAAGCGGAAACGTGCCCCAAAACCAAAGCCTATTACAGAGGAGCCTGTCTGGGATGGATTCGAAAGCGATAGAACCAATGATGCAACAGAAGACTCAGAACATTCCGGTAGTGATGCGAGTGATGATGAAGATAGTTGCCCTGGAAGCGATATAGGATCAGGACAAAGCGATAGCGAGAATGACGAAGATGACGAACAGAACGACCAGTCTTCAAGTTCCGATGACGACCCCGGCGAGCACACAATAATTCGACCACGAAGTTCAGCATTTAAAGCATGGGCGGTACAGCAAATAAACGAAGCGGTTGGCTTTAAACCCACAGAACATGCTTCTCCTCCAATTTCTGTTTCCCAGCCAGAAAAGCCAGCGACGTCGCGCCCGGCCGAGGACGAACCTTTGCCTGCTGAATTGCAAATCCCAAAAGGAGATCCGAATAGAAAGGCCTTCGCCGTCCAAGTAAATCGGCCTGAGGACGTACAGGCATCGCGCCTCGGCCTACCCGTTGTTGGGGAGGAACAAAAAATTATGGAAGCTATCCATAATAATCCTTCGGTTGTCATCTGGGGCGCTACAGGAAGTGGTAAAACTACACAGTTACCGCAGTTCCTCTTCGAAGCAGGATACGGAAACCCTGAAAGCCCCAATCCGGGGATGATCGGAATAACTCAACCGAGACGAGTCGCAGCGGTCAGCATGGCGAAGCGAGTTGCCGATGAGCTAGGTCAATTTTCAGACCAGGTTTCATACCAGATCCGATTCGATAGCACAGTGTCAAGCAAAACAGCAATAAAATTCATGACAGATGGTGTTTTGATAAGAGAAATCGCCCAAGATTTCTCGCTTTCGAAGTATTCGATAATTATTATTGACGAAGCCCACGAAAGGAGTGTTAACACAGACATTCTCATTGGTATGGTGAGCAGAATAGTGGATCTGAGGAAAGCCATGCACGCGGAAAACCCATCTGTAAAGCCACTCAAGCTAGTTATTATGTCTGCTACTTTACGTATATCGGATTTCCTCCAAAATGAAAATCTCTTCCGGCAAGGGCGGCCTCCATTAGTCCAAGCTGAAGGACGTCAATACCCTGTCACTATCCATTTTTCACGCCGCACGCATAGCGATTATGTCGAAGAGGCTTTCCGAAAAGTCTCCAAGGGACATAGGAAGCTGCCGCCGGGAGCATTCCTTGTTTTTTTGACGGGGCAAGCAGAGATTAAAGACCTAGCCAAGCGTCTTAAACAGACCTTCAGGTCTACGCATGACACTGATCCTTTCCGGGGTAAGGTTAAACTTTCAGCAGTGGAAGCCCCCTTAGAAACTGAGGATATTGAACTTGGAACAACATCAGCGACCATGTATGATGGTTACGACAGCGATATCGAGATTATAGGATTAGACGATGATGAAAATGACGATGACGACTTTGACCATGAAGAAGGCGCTGTTGATTCAGGAACAAAAGTCCACGTCTTGCCTCTTTACTCCCAGCTCCCTACGAAGGAACAGATGAAAGTGTTTGAGCCCGTGCCGGAGGGTTCCCGTCTCATTGTCTTGGCCACCAATGTGGCAGAGACAAGTTTGACGATCCCCGGCATTAGATATGTATTTGACTGCGGCCGTTCCAAGGAAAAGCAATACGACGTTGCGACTGGAGTTCAGAGTTTCCGGATCGGATGGATAAGCAAAGCCAGTGCTAGCCAACGGGCTGGTCGAGCTGGAAGAACAGGCCCTGGGCATTGCTACCGACTTTACTCTTCCGCTGTTTTTGAAGGTGAATTCGAAGAGTATACACAGCCGGAAATCCTGCGGACACCAATTGAAGGAGTTGTCTTGCAGATGAAGAGCATGGGGCTTCACCACGTTATCAACTTTCCCTTTCCAACTCCACCGAATCGAACGAGCCTTGCGAAAGCGGAAAAATTACTGCGGAACCTTGGAGCCCTTACCTTGGATGGCCAGGTCACTGACACGGGCCGCCATCTTAGTCTTTACCCACTTTCCCCAAGGTTTGGCAAGATGCTTCAAATCGGCCATCAGCACGGTTGTATGCCCTACGCCGTGGCTTTGGTTTCTGCGCTCGCGGTATCGGACCTCTTTGTCCAGGAAAACCAACTCGATCTTAACCCCACGCGGAAGGGAGATGACGAGGAGAATAAAATTTACACAAACGCGGATAGGCTCGAGGATACTGCGAGGGAAATGCGACGCAAAGATTATAACCGCGCCCGCCGTATCTTCAGCAAATACGACGATAAATCTGACGCCCTGAAGTCCCTCGCAGCCGTATGTGCGTACGCATACGCAACAGATGGCGACTCCTTCTGTTCCCAAATGTTCCTCCGTCCCAACGCAATGAAAGAAGCCTCGCAGCTTCGCCGCCAGCTTTATGAGATCGTCCGCAGCAATAACCCGAGTATCACGAACCCATTCGAATCACGCCTCCCTGAACCCACCGATAAGCAACTCCGCGCTTTGAAGCAAATCACCGCCGCAGGTTTCATCGACCATGTCGCAATCCGCGCAGACATGGCTCCCGTCCCGCCTGAAATGCCCCGCAAGCCCCGTAGAGCCATAGATGTCCCCTACTTAACCCTCTTCTCATCCCGCGACGGATATGCCAGAGAACTCGATGAGAAAGCCGTATATATCCATCCCACTTCTGTCCTCTCGCAACTTTCAACCACAGAACTTCCACAATACCTTATCTACTCTCATCTCCAACAATCCGCCCCAAGTGCTATCTCTGATACCCCCACCAAGGTCCGAATGTTCCCCCTGACGGCTGTGAGCGGGCTACAACTCTCTGCTCTGGGGCATGGGACACCTTTGATCGAATACGGGAAACCGATTGGGAAAATTGAACCTGTTGCTGGCGCATCGGATAAGCGCGAGTGTTGGGTTATTCCGTCGCTGAAAGGGGATCCTGGAAGCACGGGGTGGCCGTTACCAGCAAAGAAGGTGGTGCAGAGGAAGGATAGGAAGCATGGGTGGGTAATTGAGAAGTTTATTAAGTAGCATTATTTTATCTATCGCTGTATATATATTCATGAGTTGGGCTTCGGCTATATAATTGGCGTTTCTGAGGGTACATTTAGAGAGATTATCTCGGATGATTGAGAGGACCGTTGCACATTTCATAGTACAGAGCTATATTCATGAAATAAAAATGAATCCACATAATTTGAAGCCAGTCGTTGATGCATAGCTTAATTTTCAAACGCTCTTATCGGCTTCAACAAACCATTGACGCTTCAAAACAAGCAGAGCAGACCTTCCCGCAAGAACGCCTTAATGCGCCAAATAATCCACAACAGTTCATATCCAGATAACATATAAAGTACACGGCCTTTCCTCTCACCGGTCTCGCCGAGATCTACTCTGATACCCATCCCGATCTCGATCCCGGTCCCGGCTCCGCTCCCGGTCTCGATGCCCATCTCTATGCCCAGCTCTATCACTTTCTCCTTCCCTTTCCCTCTCCCTCCCCACCTCCCTCCCCACCTCCTTCTTCTCCCGCCACCTCCCACCATTGCCACCCCACCTCCACTCATCCCCCTGCTTCCCATCCCCTCTAATCCCCAAAGCCCTCCTCAACCTCTCGCTCTCCTCAATCTTCGCCTCCGCCAGCTCATGCACCTGGTATGTCTTAAACTGTTTCCTTCCCCCCTTAACCCTCTCACCATCCCTTGCACCAAGCTGTCCACGCCTGCTATCACCACCACCAAGACCACCCCCCTTCAACTCCTCCTCCAACTCCCCCACCAGCCTCTTCCGTATCCCATCCAACCTCTCCTCAATCTCCTCTTCCGACAACTTATCCCCCCCCCCCACCCCCTCATTCGCCTCCTCCAACCGATCCCGCTCCTCCAAAATCTTCACCTCGATCGCCCGCCGCCGATCATGCTCTAGGATCTGCTGGTCCGGCTTGCGCTGCTTGAAGGAGCCGTTGGATTGGCGGTCTGTGTTGGCACCGGTGGCTGAGGGGGGCGGGTAAGGGGCGCCGCCGTAGCCGGCATCGCGCGGCTTGAGGAAGGAGAGGTTGCGCTGGACGTAACCGGATGTACCGCTGCCGCGCGGGGTGGAGAGGCCGACGTTTGAGGACATTTGTGGATCGTTGTGGGCGGGGTTTTAGTCGCTTGGGATGGTTTGGAGGTGATGGATGGTGAATTGGTGAGTGGATGCGTGTATATCCTTTATCCGCTGGTTGGCTGACTGGCCTTGTAAGGGGCGAAGGTTTGTAGATAGACGTACGTGCGTAAGCCGGTGGATGAATATGTGATGACTTATTACAGAGGTCGTTGGGCTTGCTGATATTTTCTCCTTCTCTCTCTCTTATCCTGCCTGGTAGCTTGAAATTAGTCCCCGAAGCCAGTCGGAAATTTCCTTCTATCCCCAAGTGTGCACTGCGGAGACAGTTGCGGCGGTAGCACGGAGCAGTAGAATTTGCCGCTCCTGCTCAGCAAAAAGGTCTAGATAGCCTAGGAAAACTTGACAAAGAAAGTGTTTTTCGTCTTGGAATTATTCCGCCATATGGTTCGATAAGACGAATCAGTATTCCTCCTCTTCGTCGCGGGAAGAAGGGATGAGGTCCACATATTGTGATCGCCACGTGACCGCGGTGCCCAGAACAGCGCTTGCTGCCAAAAAGGAGTTACGCACAGCTGTGAAAATAATGGTCTAGTATGTCGTGATTGATTCCTATTTATTAAATGATATATGCAAAGGAGTAAAATAGGTAGGATAATAACTATATACATGTTAAGACAATGAAGTAGAAAAAAAAGGTTCCCAAAAGATCGCCAAAAAGGAATCAAAACATATTAAACAAGTCTCTCCAAGACCTAGTTAAATTACCTGCATAGTCAGATAGATATTCTAGGAAGGTATATGGGGTGCCTAGGCCACCCAATTTCCCCAAGATTCTTCTTCCTCTCCTCATCTTCTTCTCGTGAACCCACTTCTCACTCCGCCCGCTCAGCTCCACCCAAATACCTCCCCAACACTAAGCGTACTCCACCTTACCCCAGCCACCGAAACAAACAGCACAACCACATCCACAACCGCCAACACCACCGCCCCCATCATGAACCGCGGACAGAAAATCCGATAGAGCATCAGGTGTCTGCGCAACCAGCCCGCCCACATTGTCGTCGCCAGGTTGATCGTGGCATAGTATAGGATATGCGTCGCCGCCGCCTGCGCGACGTCAGAGAGGAGCCGGCTCGCGCCGTTCTTGGATGGCGATTTAGTAGGAGCTGCTGGCGTCTGCGTCTGCGAATGCGCCTGCGCCTGAGTCGATGAGGAGGACGGTGTCAGCGGGCCGCCACGGGCATCAATAGGACGCTTCCACAACACGGTCAGCGGCACGGCGACGGCGGAGAGTATCTGTGCACCAAAGGTATTCAATACAACAACGAGAGGAGACCAGGGATACTTGACCGTGGTGAGAGGCACGAAGGCGATTTTCCACTGTATGCTGCTCAGCGTAGCCTGGTGGCCCGTGGTGAAGAAGTGGAAGGAGCCCAGGAGACCCAGCACGACGGGGCCGATTGCCGAGTTGCTCGTCGTCAGCCCATTTGTATCGAGGATTTCGAGCAGGGAGAGGATTTGCCAGGTTTGCAGGCCGATGGTGCCGCCGCCCATGGGCTTTTGGAGGAGGATTATGGCTAGGGCGAAGTTTATGAGGAGGATGGCGTAGCGCGTGCCATGGACGTTGGCGTAGCCGAGGATTGTTACTACGGTTTTTGGCTGAGGTTGTGGTGAGGTGGTAGGCGTTGCTGGGTTTTTGGGGTTGGGGGTCATGGCGACGCTGATGCAAGGTTTGGCCCACCCGAAGGTTGTGGTGCCAGCGGCGAAGGCGATGGCTAGGACGACCTGAGCGAGGACCACGCGGGTATTTTTAACCATGGATTTGGAGAGGGAGGGGAACCAATCGCCATCTTCAGCAGCGTCGATAGTCCAGAAAACGGCTACGATGAAGAGGCCAGTGCGGAAGGCGATGCCGATCCAGAATATAGCAGAGCCCTCGTATGACTTGGTGCCCCGGTAGTAGGAGCGGATGACGGAGGGTAGGATTATTGCTACCAGGAGAGGGATAAATAGATGCCACCATGCAGAAGTAGATGACGTTGAGGAGGCGTAGTATGTAGATATGCAGTAGGGCATCTGTTCTTCGCGACAGACGCGGGAGAGAGATGCTATTCTCCCGAGGACCACGAAGACGATGGAATGGTAAAATCCAAGCACCCTATCTTCCGTACGCTTCTGACGCAGTGAAGATAGAGCGGCCACAACGCCAAAGGTCGTTAGGAAGAAAAATAGTATCTGATCTTCCCAGATGGTGTATGAGTTGGACGCGAACCCTACAGACTGTGACACCGTAAATATAACCGCGAGCCATGCCCAGAGCGAGTTTGGCAGGGGTGAAAATATCCGTTTCGGCACCCACAAGACCGTCGACGATACTGCCAAAATTCCGCCAACGGCTATGCCAAGCACGAGTCCCTGTATACGGGATAATTGGACGATCCGCGTTCCAGTTAGTATCATCCCGCCCATTACACCAATTCCGGAACCAGCTCCTATCCGCCGGAGCGTGGGGTATGAAAGATCAGTGCGGTCGCCCCGAATCCCTCGAGCATAGAATACCAACAGGACAACGCCAGCGAAGAGAATCAATATCCCCTGAACCATGCTGGGGACATCAAATCTAGCCCACAGACCCTTACAGACATGCAGCGTATCTCGCTGATACTCGCGGTACGACTCGTATACCTTTTGAAGGACCGGTCGATGTCGATCTGACCCACCCTGCTGATGCTGATGCTGAGACATGGAATTCCAGTCCTCTTCCGCACGAGCCCAGATCCCTAATGGTCCAGAGGTATGACTCTCATCAACGCCCCTCGCAAGTGCATACTCATGCTGATAACGTTTAATCTGCGCAGACGCAAGCCTATTGACACGGACCAAGTTGCCCAAGTCGCGCCCGCCCGTGCCAGAGAAGGCCTCCTCAATTGGCGATCCGAGGCTGTTGAACGGAATGGGGATTCCCAGTAGCAGCGCCAGCGTCGGAACAAAGTCGATCTGCGGGACGGGCCGTTCCTTCGCCGTCGGCGGCGGTGCTAGGACCATATCATTCGTCCGCCCAAAGACCCCCGCCCGCTTCGAATACATCCACAACGCAGCTTCAACCTCATCGTCCGACTCGCCCCCATGATCACCCTTGCCATCCATTCCATGATCCCCCATAACAACAAGCAGAGTCGACTCATCAATAGATCTTATGACATCGCGTACGACTTGATCCATCTGGTTCAACTTCGCCGCCATGGCTGCATGATTCGGCCCGTATCGATGGCCCGCATGGTCAACTCCGAGAAAGTGGCCAACGACCACATCCCACTTCGTCGCATTGTTCGCATGCAGGAGCGGGAATAGATGCTCTATAACCCCATTGTCGACCGTGTGCAGGTCACGGACATTAAACGAATCGTACGGGTGTGATAGGTCTGCGTCGAAAAGGCCAGGGAACAGCGACTGCCACGTATCATCCCCCAAATGCACGATTCGCTTTCCCGCGCCGTGTAGCTGCGCGATGAGGTTATCCTCGTCGATAGCCGTGCCGGCAAAATTCGAGCCAGCGTCTATGAACGTGGGTAATGTGCCTGTTGTCAAGCCCTTGAGTCGCTGTAGTGTGGTTGTGGGTGCATCGGCGATGAAGGGAAGCAGAAAGGCCTTGTCGGGTGACTCTACGGCAGTTTCGTATAGGATGGGGAAATGGTTGTGGAAGTGTTGAGGCTGTTCTCCTTCTACGATTGGCCGGAAGGGGACGGTAAAATCATATCGGAGAGCGTCTATTACTAAGACAATAGCTTTATCAAATGTTTTTGGATGCCAGCATCCTCGATCTGTCGCAACCTGTGACGAATCTGCACCCACCGCCGCTGCTGCTGTTCCTTCAAATGGCAGCACAGTACACTCCGATTTATTCTCCAACACCAACCGCGCTAATAGGAATCCCTTGGTAAAGAAGAATATACCAACGAGATGAACGAACCTGCGTTAAAAAGAAAATAGAAACAGGAACAGAAATTAGTCCCGTCGAAGAATACAAGAAGACACAAGAAAACAACACGACGGCAGCAACTCACAAAAACCACCCTAAAACCCCCAACACCCCCGCATGTTCAATCGTAAACAACCTCTCCTTCAATTTATTCCTCTGCACATCTCTTTCCTTCGCAGCTTTTACTAGCGCTTCCTCGCCCGCCGTACCTCGGCCTGCACCTGCACCCGCACCCACACCCTCACCCTCACCCAATGTAGCACGCTGCCTTATTTTCTGCGCAGCAGCAACCTTCTGCGCCTCCTCCTCCTCTGCCAAAGCCTTCGCGCTCGCCCATTGCGCTTTTATTTTGCGGAATTCATTTGTGGAAGATTGCGGTTGTGGGGACGTTTTCCTGTGAGCCGCGCTTTTCGTAGGAGATGAGGCGGCGGGCTTCATTTTTTTTTTTTTTTTTTTTTTTTTTTTGAGGATCGTAAAGGATAGCTAAGGGGGTTAAGGTAGGGATTGGTATTATATCGATATTATATCGACCGCGTCCTTCTCAATTTCTTCTCAATTTATTTCGAAAGAGGCGCATAAATTTCATCCCCCTATAGCGGCTAGGTTATGCGCTGTATGTGTGTATGCCTATGGAAAACCTTTACGCTTCTCCTGGAGATCATGCGTCTAGCTTCCCTCACGGATGAGAAGATACATCTGGCGCCAGACGGGTGTAATTGTGGACCATAGCAGTTGTAGTCGGCGTCGTAGTAGTAGTAGCAGTAGCAGCGATATTATTAACCATACTCGTACCCATCATACCCATGCTCACAGTTTGCCGCGGAAGAAAGAGGTAGTCGTATCTCACGCAGTGGGATAGTTAGGGACGGGTCGCACTATGGTTAAGTTGTTCGCCCGCGGGCTGATCTGTAGAGATATTTAGTTGCGGAGGAAAGGGGAAAAAGGGGAAGGTGAAACAGTGCAAGCTGAAGGAAAGATCTGAAGGGCCCCCAGTGAGGGGGGGAGAGAAGACCGATTAAAAATACTAACGTGTTCTTCAAAAACCCCTTCTCCAAATACGAGCCATTGGCCCCGTTTTCTTGGTCCGGTGTAAAGTTGCAAGGTGCGATATTGCAAGCCAAAAAACCCGGATCGAGCAGGTTGGAGTTTCGGAGCGAGCCGCTGGACCTCGCGGCTACATCATGTGATGCATGTAACTATCAAGCGCCGAAGTTGATCGTTGAAAGTTAATGTTGACAACAACAACAACAACCTCCTCAGATATTTCTAGTTACTACGCATAGTAGGCGAGCTTGCATGAATAAGGCAATTTTTAGTTTTTCTGTCAAATTGTCAATTGGTTAACTTCCACCTTCAGTCAACCAATCAGTCAAATCCGCGGAGTAAAACAGGGCGCCTAAAATTGCCTGGTTGACGGCTAAAACGGCTTGGCAGAAGTAGTTTAACTATTTCTAGCTTCATCTTGTCACTTGTCATCAGAATCCACTAACAGAAAAGAAGCACAACAAAACTATCATCTTCAAAGACACAACTGATCCTGTCAACACAAACAAGATTTTAAATCACCTGCTCTGCTAAATTGTCTCTTGCTTATTCTTATGTATGATCTGCATTCTTCAGTCAGTTTCATGTTCTGCTGTACTGCACTATTCTCAATTATTATTATTATTATTCTTCAATTGTAGATATATGCAGTCAGAGACTATGATATCTACCTGAAAACTTTTAGTTCTTAGAGTTTTTCTAATATCTATAAAGTTAACTATTATACATTTATCAATTTCAGATATACAAATTAGAAAATTTCAGCTCAGAATATAAATGTAAGAAGTCTACACTGAATAGATCAGTATAATATCAATAGATCTTATATAATAAAGAGAAAAACATTAGAGAAGAAAAGAAAGAGAAAGTGTAGAAATCAGCAATCAGAATAAATATTTATACATATATATAATAATATACATAGTGAAGCTTCAGAGTGAAAGAATCTATACATATTTATAATAGCTAAGAATCAGTGATCAAGAATGACTGAGAATCAGAGTATATATATTCAAGAGTGAAGTGAAAGAATCTATGAAGTGAAGTAGAAGAATCTATGAAGTATAATAGAATAGTCTATATAATTGATCAGACACAGTCTGTTATATTAACTCTCTTCTTTCAAAAGTAGTTCTCATCAGTCAAGAGCTACTATTTCAGATAATACAGAACTCAGAGTTTAGATCAGTTAATTATAGCTGACTTATTTCATAAGATATTATTAACTACAGCTATGAGATCTCTCATTGAGAATATTCTCAATCTCTCACTTAAGCTTATTATCTTCTTCTATAATGTCTGATGATTGTCAGTCAAAAGTCAGTTGAGAAGAAAAGAAATCAGTGATAATACAGTAAAACAAGCTTATATAAAATATATTATAAATCTCTGATAATATGTTAAAACAGTAGTTATAGCTATCTAGAACTTCTATCACTTTATACTTAATATAGTGATAATCTAGCATATGAGATGAACATGTAATTTATATATTCTTAAGATTCAATTATATCAGATCTTCTATCTTATATTATTCAGTAGAGTCTCAGTGAACATTGATTTAATTCTTTTAATCTTATTTCATAGTTATCATAGAGATCTCTGCTTAATCATAGATATCTCAGAGCTTTATTACTATATTATCAGTGATCTGAATCAGACTGTGAGAATTCAGTATAAACTATGTAATCTTTAGAAGATCTAACATCTTTATATAATAACTATATATAAGAAAGAACAGACTTATATCTATTGAAACAGTATCTTGATTATTAATAGTAATCTCTGTATATAGAAGAAGATTATATCAATTATCTTATAAGTAATTATAGAACTTATAAAGATAATTCTTTATAATCTAAATTATCTATTCTGATACATTATCAGTCTCAGAGTGATAGACAGTTAATAGATAGTATATAATCTTAAGAACTTAACAGATTCTTATTTAGAGAGTGCTTATAAATTGACAGCTCTGATCTGATACTATAGATCTCAGTAATTTATATATCTGATAGAATAAGCTCTGTAGAAAAGCTTCAGTGACTTATTTAATATTCATCTTATTATAAGATTTTAATATTATATCTTTGCTCAATTAATTCATAATGATTGGAATATTTCTATAATTCTTACTCTCAGATAAATTAATAATGAAGTTAATTACTATATCTTATCAGATTCTATCAGAGATATTAAGTAATTTTAATAGATTTTTTCTACAGTTCTTTCATAAGATAATAGAAGAACAGTGATTATAGTTTCAGATAAAGTATCTGATACTATTTAATATCTCAGATCAGTAGAACTCTTAGAAGATTATTCTATACAGTTATTTATAGTCTGAATAACTGATTATATATAAATTATACATCTCTTATATTATCTGAGTGTGTAAGAGTTCAGAGTGAGAGACTCAGTGTCATTCATAGAATCATAGAGTGTTATTATCATTGATTGAATATTCTGAGATATCAGTTTTTATATATAGTTCTGAAGAAAATTAAGATACTTCTTAATATACTGCTTTGATAAGAATCTGAAGAAGTTCATTAGTCTGAGCTGTTATATATCACAGTTTATTCAGTGTAGAGAAAGTGAAGATATCAATATCAGTGTCAGTTCAGAGAGAGAGTATTCTAATTAGAGAAGTGTATATAATGTTATAAGTTATTCTATCTTGATTGATTAATATCTTCAGATCTAAGAGTCAGTGTTCTCAGTTCATTCAGCATGTATCTGTTATATTAAACAGTATATCTTATTCTCATTATAAGAGAACATCTGTCATTGAGTTCTAACTGCTGAGCTGCTGAGATAATAGTGTATTGTAAAATGAAAACAGCTTAGAAATTCAGATTATCATATCTATTATTTAATGAGTTTACAGATGATTGTGAAGTACTTGAGATTCTTATAATCTGTGATTATCTTAAATTTAGAGATATTTCAGAGTTCAGAGTCTCATTCTTCTAGATAGTATATAATTGTAAGAAGTTTCTTATCATAGATCTTATAATTGTATTCAGTGAGACTCAGTTTCTTAGATATGAAAGCACATGATTATAAAATATCTTTATCATTATATTGCAATATCACTTCTTCTATTATATAATCAGAGAAATCAGCTTTAACAACTATTTCATAATCAGAGTCAAATATCATTAGCAGAGAGATATTGATAAATATCTTCTTTATCTGTATAAATGCAGCTTCAGTATCTGCTAAACACTGATATACTGAGTTCTTCTTAATGAGTTCTGTAAGTAATCTTATAATATCTGAGAAGTTTTATATAAATCACTGATAGAAGTTAGTAAATTTAATGAAGTTTTGTATATCTTTTACAGTACACAGAGCTTCTCATTCAAGAATGACAGAGACTTTCTCAGAATTCATTTGAATTCTCTTATCAGCTTCTATAATAAAACTCAGATATTTAATACTCTTGACTTTAAAATCATACTTATCAATATCTATTAGTAGTTCTGCTTCTCATAGCTGTTGTAATATCTTTCACATATGTTCTTAGTATTCTTTCCTGAATTCATCAGTGAAGATGAGAATGTCATCAAGATATATAGATACAAATTTATCAAGAAAATCTCAGAGTGCTCAGTTGATATACTTCTGAAATGTACTGAGAGTGTTAGTCAGTTCAAAGAGTGTGACTACTCATTTAAAGAGATTATATCATATTCAGAATACTGTAAGTCACTCATCTTCTTCAGTGATACAGATCTTATGAAATGTGATAATAATATTTAACTTTGTAAATCATTGAGCTTGTTCAATATAAGTTAGAGTTTCATTAATAAGAGATAAAGAATAACAGTTCTTCTTCATTAATCTATTCAATTCTCAATAATTCACATACAATCAGAGTTCTTCACCTGATTTCTTTACAAAGAGAATAGAGATTGCAGTGAAAAAGTTACTAATACATATGAATTCTTTATTCAACAGATTATTAAGTGTCTTTTAAAGAAGAAGAAGTTCATCTCAGAACATGTTATAAAGAGAGTCTTATGATGATTCAGAGTTCTTATTATTCTTCTTTTTCAACTTGATACTGTAGTTCACTTCTGAATCTTATAAGAAAGGTAGATTTGTAGTATTATTATCTTGTCAGAAGACATCTAGATATTCATAATATTATTAAGAGAGTTTTATACAAGAATCTGTTATTGTAATATAAGATAACTTTTCTAGAGTCTTTTTAATATCAGTCAGACTGATGAAATAGATTGATACATGATTCTGTTATTAGTAATTCTTTCAGCAACTTCTTTTTCTGAGTATTTTATAGGCATTGACAGAGATCTGTATCAGATTCATAGTCTTGTGAATGTCATTCTTGTGAACTCTATCATTGTTAGAGAATATTAAACTTCTGTTTCAAGTATCTAATAAGATATCTTATTCAGATAGTCAGACAAGTTCTAATATAAGATTATAATCAAGATTATCAACTTCATATGTATAGGCATCTTCACACTGATGTTCTTTAATATCTATGTTTAGTTTCATTATATAACAGATGCAAACATCTTTTGAATCATTGAATTCTGTAAGAAGTTAGAGTTTTAATAAGAGAATACAGTAAAGATTATAATATCTCACAATTAAAGATTTAATCATTGTATAGTGATATAGACTGCTATCTATCATAGCTTTCATATTATACATGTTATTAATCACAGTAGATATAAGAATCATATTCATTATCATTTTCTCTTTAAATTATTATCATTCAATCTCTTCAAGCTTCTGTTTATAAATTTGAATAGAAGCTAATCTTTTCCCTGTTTCACTAGAGCATTCTTATAGTTATCTTTCAAATCTTTCTTCACTGCAATGTGATTGATGTGAACAGATGCTGATTCATTCTTTAAATAAGAAAACACTGATCTTTCTCTTAATTGAGAAGAAGCTGATCTTTCTCTTAAGTGTGAAGATATATAGATTAATCAGCAGTTGAAAGCAATGTGTTCTAATCAGTTACAGTTAATATATACTTCACATTGACATTGATCAGTGACTTCTTTGAGAGTGATCTCAGAAACTCAGAAGTCTGTTCAAATGACAGAAACTCTTGCTTATGTATAGACATTTGAATTTATTCAGTTTATAGCATCTGCATTATTACTGTTACTTCTCTTCAGTACAGATGTATGAGTGACTGAGATATAACATCTTCTGTTACTGTTCTGTATACTCTTGAGCTTGATAAGACAGTTATTCAATATCTGAAGCTGTGTGCAGAAGTCTTCATAAGTTGAGTCTTCATTTACACTTATAAGAGTCTGTAAGAGTTCAAAAGTTAATATCTTCTTAAGCATGCTAATCTTTATTCAATTCTCTCAA